AATGATATGTCATTTTTAGTGAAGGGGTGCAATACTACCTAGATAAGATTGCATATGATTTTGAAAAACATGATTTTACTGAAATTGACTTAGTATTGCATGGTTTTCTAAGTCAGGTATTACGGTACTAGTAGAAAAACATGAAGATTTCAAATTGTTGTTACAATTGAGCCCAACATTTCCAAATTGAATTTAAATGAAATGTTATATACCGTACAGTACTGTATATTTACCATTACATGTCATTTACAAAAAGTTACAAAGTGACGTCACACTCTGCAGTACATCACTGTATACTGTATTACAATTAGTGTTGTAAATTACATGTAATATAGATTTTTATATTTCATATTACAGTCATATGACGTCATATAACGTCACATAGTGTAATATAGAAAATACACATTTTGCTTAAATAATGCTAATTTAGAAATCATGGCTAAATTTACAATACATTTGTATCACTTGTATTGCCAATAGATTAACAAAACATACTTTATAGCACTATATTATTGTTTCAATTATCTTTTTAAATAATAGCGTTAATTACAATGTCATAATTGCACGGTCAATAGGACGGCGCCAGAGTTATATTACACTTTTTGTAATATAAAATTTTTATATTACACTTTACATGTCATATAACTGTAATGTAAAGTGTTATATGACGTCATATGACAGAACTCACAACACTAATTACAATGTATTGCAGTTCTAATGTAATGATTATGAAATACATGGCGTGTATTGTGTGTATTGTGTGTATTGTGTGTATTGTGTGTATTGTGTGTATTGTGTGTATTGTGTGTATTGTAAGGTTAGTGCAGTTAAGGGTGTTATGAGTGCTAATCAGTGCTAATCAGTGATTGAGTGGTGAAATGGAGGCAACAATTGGTCAGAAGAAGTGGAGAACAGATTTGTCACATCTCTTCAAGTGTTGGTCTCTAATCAAGACATCGGAACTCATTAAAGACAAGGCATATGAAGAACTCAAGACATTCTCTGCCGATCGCAGAGCCATTGAACGACTCAACCAAACCATCAAAAGGTAGTCAATACACACAATACAGACATACCTTCTATTGTATACAATATATTGATATGAATTCTGATTACAGAAATGATTTGAAGACCAGTTTTGATCAAACCATCAGTTTATGGAATAAAGCAATCGATCAGTACTTAAATCAGAGAAACTTTTTCGGTATTTATTATTCAATTCATATTTAAAGTGATTTAATAAATAATTAACTCATTGTTAATGTTTTGATTGACTTAATATTGACTCAATTTGAGTGTCAAATAGTGATTAACATTCACCCAAATTGGGTCCGGAGTTAATCAAGTGTTGGATGAGTTGGTGGTTGTGTGGACTCAAGTGTAGGCCAAACCTCTTGAGCTCATTGTCCAACTGTAGTGTTGATCCAAATCCAGCGCAATAGGCGTTGAGTCGAGCGGCCACTGGACTCAACACCACTTCACTATTAGTTAACCCAATCTCTAATAACAATGATTGATGTTTACGTAGGAAATACTTTTGATGATAGTCTTCAGCCAAATAATAGACATTAAACGGCAATATTTGTGTGACAATTGGTTCAGACAATTGTCTCTGTTGTGCCTCAAGTGACTCTTGAATGAGTAGTCTTTGTTGGCTATTGTTGTAGAAAATAGCGGACATATACTGGCGTTTAGTGACAAACGTCGGGTCATGACTACTCCAGAACACTGACAATAACTCCTATATTAGACATACAGTATAAACATCAATACAAGTTCACTAATAGTGGTTATAATGCTATTGTGACCACAATATGGTATTTGATAGCAAATAGACTAAATCAGTAAATATTTCATACCTCATAAGTAACAAGTTTTGGATCAAACACTACTTTAACCACTTCTATGTGATCTTTGAGGTTCTTATAGGTGGGGTCTGGTGTCGAGCCTCCCGTATAGCCAACGCTTGTGCCAATCACTCCTTGAATTATTCCAAACTTTACTTCTGAACCCCAAAAACATTGCAAACCAAATATTGCTTCACAATTAGTATTCATTTTGTTGTAATTTTATTGTTAATTAAGTCTGCTTTACATGTATTAGAAATGATTTATAAAGCATTAACAATATTTAAAATGGAGTTTTATAACCATTTCATATTCTTTAAAGTTTTAACTTTAATCTAGAAATATGTTTATATGAAACGTTATACTCAAAGATAAGAACCCTTCCAAACAATTACTGTATTGTTATTTACTGTTAGTTGATTTCAGTTTTGCGAGTGAAAAGATTGGCACAAACTTTAACCCAACAGTAATAACATAATTATAAATAATAATTTGACATTTGATTTGTAGCTATAATTAGTGCCGTAATTGTAATTAAAATAACATATAATATTGTATGACAGCTGCGGCAGAATGTATGGAGAGTTTGGCCGAAATTGAGTTCAAATTTGGTGATAAACACGCGAAGAGAGTGTCGTTATCAACACTACTGAAAGCCAGCAAATACTTCAAGAAAGCGTCTCAACCGAAAAGAGCACTCATTGTACTGAAACGGGTGCTCACTATCCTTGAACTCTCCCCAAAGAACGACATCTCTATCATTGCTGATAGATATGAAGACTGTGTCCAACTTTATCTGTCCCTCGATTTGCCTCATTTGGCAAATGTATCACAAAAAATGCATCAATTCCTGGACCCACAGAAGGCAGAGAAGGCCTCTTTCTGCTCACTAGATGTAATGTCATCAATGATTCATCATAAACGGTGTCCAAACTATATCCACTATTATTACTAATTATTATTATTAATTAACACGTTATGGTGAAAGTGTGGTAACGTTTAGGGATCGAGATCAACATTTAGGCTCAATTTTCAACCACTCTATATTAGCGACTCTATACGACACATATTTACTAAATAAATCACAAATTTGTGTCATTTTAACTTAATTAACAATTATTATCAAAAAGTAATTTATTTAAAGACTTAACAGAATACTTAATTTGTCGTCAATTCATTATTATTTTGTAATATAGAATTTTAGCATTCATGCAATATGTAAATCATTCACAGAATTTATAACAGAAATATTTAAAGAACCAAAATAATTTCGTAATTATTTTAAATGGAAAATGTTTTAATTAGTTTGATGTTTATACACCACATTAAAAGTATCTAGTCGAAAGCATCAAGATTTCCCATTTTATGAAAATTTAGCCCAAAATTTCAATATTTAATTACAAATGAAATGTTCGTATAAAAATTTCACTGAAATTATCATCCCTAACTAGAATATAACATGTACAGTATCTTATACAGTATATAAATTTTTAACAAATAATATTACCGCAATACAAATAAGTTATGCATTTATTGCATGCATTTACTGTAAACTAATAGTCGAAATGTTTGGACACCATATACTGTATACCGCGGTATAAAAATATAAAATGCATTTTGTTTATATAATATATAGAAATGTAAGCTGGAATCGTACGATCTTCCGATGCCGTCTCGGGTGTCCACCCCTTCCACTGTGCGAACCAATAACAGCGATGACGAAGACTCTTATGATAACCAGTGTTTTGGCGAACAGACTATTGAACATCAAATTGAGGACAAGGAATGGGTTCAGCAACAGATCCGACTCCTCGATCAACACAACACTTCACTTTTCGCCACCAATTATACTGACATTAATGATGATAACTGTCAGCACACAAGCGATGAAGAGCTCGACTTAAATATAAAGCAAAACTTCAAACCAACTGTAAGTTTGTTGTATTCTTTGAGTTCTAATACTGTATACCGTTATTTCACAATTTAATTAAATTCTTCATTTTAGACAAAACTTAAATCCAAACAATTATTGCGTAAGAATTTGAGACAACTTTTACCGGAAACAATGGATGAGAAAAACGCATCAAAAAAAGCTAAACTAAATATCAAACCAGAAGTGGAGGTTTCTAGAAATGCAATCACAACACAGATAACACCAATACCTGTACCCACATCTATGTCTACATCTATGTCCACTTCTATTACTATAACGAGCACTGAATTAGAGACACAACAAATCCGCACTAAACGGAAACGTCGGCTCAAACCTAAAGAATTATCTGAAGAATCGCCAGAAAAACGATTAATAAAATTAAAAAAACTGAACATTGAAAACGTTTTCTCGATTGACGCGAGAGCTCCGTCTGAACGGTTATTGTGTAATCTTTGCGATGAATCCATACTATGTTATCGTTGGTCTATAGTTACCGACCATTTAAGGGGCAAAAAACACAAAGAATTTGAAGTAAAGGCTCAACAAAGAGAACGATCTAATCAATTGCCACAAATGCAGTGCGACAGAGAAGAGTTGGCGACAGACAATAGTATTGTTTTATTACCTTATTATTACAACAATGTCTACCAAACACCAAGTGGTCAATCTATCTCGAGTGCTGCAGCAATGAGTTTGGCCAACCCGTCACACCAGACACAATCAGTTGATACCAATACACAACCTATTGAGTTGTTAGCCATCCCTCCATCTCTACCTTCAAGCTTAATGCCAATCATTGGTAAAACATATACCACAACAACAGTAATTGTTTGCTTAATACTGATTATTTTTTATATTTAAGAATCGCAACAAAATAGTATTGATGAAAATGGGCATGGTGATTTGCATGGTGATGAATACGGCAGCTTAGATACTCCACCCTTAATGGACCTGGATTCTAATCCATTATTTAATTGACAAAATCAATCATCTTATATATAAATGTAATTATTGTTAAATTTGCTACATTTTATTCATTTCAAATTATTCTAATGACATTTAGATTATAAAATAAATAACAATAGTGTGAATGAATTGTTGATAATTTTAAAGTTTATCCAAATTTTGTTTACATAAACGACAAAACTCTTTCAAATCCGAGTAAAATAATTGATAATTATTGGCATCAGATTTACAAATATTTGTGTGTAATCTATCAATAAGTGCTTTAATAGACTTATTTCGATTGAATCTATCACTAAAGTTTGAGAACCACTCCTTCCGTACGAGTCGTATAATGTCTTTGAGTGACGTATTATTGATATCTATCTCAAGCATTCTCTGCCAATCCGTATCCCAAATGTCTTTATAAACGCGTTCAACAAATTCAAGCAATTCATGTTCGCATTCATCTCGATATCTGATCCAAACATCATATTTAAGACCACAGTTGTCATCATTTGTTAAAGTATTGGTGTTATTCTTCATTTGTGGACAATTAGTATTCAATTGGTCTGTTTTGAGGGCATGTTTTGGAGTTGATTTGAGGGCACTTTTCATGTGTTTTGAATTAAGTGTTGTCTTCACAGTAGATATAGAAGCTGTTACTTCAGGCCTAACACTTGTCTTACTCTTCAACACTTTTGGACTCAATGATAATCTATAAAAATGGTTCAATTATTACTATAATTGTTAAATTCAATTCTAACCATTACCTCGTTTTGCTAACCAAATGGTCGCCACTTTTAAAGCGCTTTTGTTTAGGTTGAGAGACGCTCTCATCAATTGGTTCATTGGTTTGATCTTCATTTGAAGAGTTGAGATCCGTTTGAATACTTTTGTGTTCACTATTTGCGCGATATTTAGAGTAGAATTGTTTCCAATTCAAGGCATTCAAGTCATTCATAAGCGCTTTATTACATAAATTCAAGTCATTTGTCACTAAAATAACATTTTCTTCACAACAATTCAAATCTAAACAACAATTAATGATTTTGTCGTCATTTATCTCTTCTTTAATTCTCTTAAATTCAAGTGATTTTGAATTAATTTTGCTCTTATTTTCTCCTTTTATTAAAGCTGTAAATAAATGAATAAATGAAACACAAATTCATTTCTATTAACTATAAATACATATTCATAAGTAATAAGTAATGAATAAATACCACGAGTCTTATTGAGCTGTTCATTGATAAAGTGAATCACATTCACAACACTCTTCTCTCTCTTCTGGCTCTTCATGTGATCCAACTCTTGCATTACAACCCATGGAATCACTAATGACTTGACAATTGTCTTCTTTGTGGCCCACAATTGTCGGTCCTTTTCCTCGCAAACAATCAATTGTTTCAATTCATTCAGATTTGAAACCAATATATTTGTGTCCAAAACACAAACCAATTCATCGCTTAAACATTGTTTGCCATCAGATGTCCGCTCTTTCAATGGGTTGACACGTCTTCTGGCTTTCAATACATGTCTTGAGTGATGAATAGGGATTGCATGTGACGGATGTGATGGCTGTGGTTGTGGTGATGGCTGTGGTTGTGGTTGTGGTGCATGTGTTGAGCGTTTGCGAGCATTCAAGTGATTGTCACCACAATTATCGTCGGTTTCCATCATTTCGATGTCATTCATGTCTTCCATATCTGCGATCAACTTATGGTTAAACAAGTAATCCATTCATCCATTCATTCATTCATTCAGTTTAATATCAAATCATTTGTAAATCAAATTGAATACAAAAACATTGTTTTCAATCAAATCGTATTAAAAGTCATTTGTTTACATCCAAGAGAAATGCAATTTACGAGTCATTCATAAACAACGTTTTGATTTCAACTTTTATATAAACTTATTACTTTTGTATACATAAAGTTAAACTAAATATTANTTGAATACAAAAACATTGTTTTCAATCAAATCGTATTAAAAGTCATTTGTTTACATCCAAGAGAAATGCAATTTACGAGTCATTCATAAACAACGTTTTGATTTCAACTTTTATATAAACTTATTACTTTTGTATACATAAAGTTAAACTAAATATTATATCTATTAATATGTGATTTTTACACAAGGGGTGCACTTATATGCGGGTAGTTTTGATGACATTCAAAATGTGTGAAAGTCACTTATAAGTGCACCTATATGCGGCGTAATGC